GCACGAAACGCACAATGAGAGGTTGAAACGACTCTAAGAGAAACGGTACACCACAGCAACGAACGAGAAGGGGGGGGTCAATATATACGGTCCGCATCTGCCGGTTTGTGAAGTCCCGGTCGTAGTGAAAGAGCCGCAGTTCCTCCAGGTAGTCCAACGCCACGTAGCAGTGCTGCTCTTTCATTTGCTGCTTGCAAGCAGCGGTCCGAGTCACACGCCATCAGTGAGTGCTGCCCAGACACGCACACAGCCGCAGCCAGCTCGTCGACAAAAAAAGGGGGGCGTAGAGGAAGTGGAGCCGAGGTGCGGTTTGATGGGGGGGGGAGGGAGGGGAGGGGGGAGGGGGTGAACCTCTACTCGAGGGGTGGCGAACAGCGTCTTCTCGTAGGGGTACTTGAGCTGCAGCACCTGCTGCAGAAAGTCGGTCGCTCGCCCGCCGCCAAGAGGAATTCTGCGTAGTGTAGCCAAACCACGTCAGCGCGCGTGTGCGTGTACGGCGTGTGCGTGTGCGGTGGTGGTGGTGGTGGTGGTGGAACCGTTTGACTGCCGATCCGTCGAGCTTGTCGTCGGCGATGAGGAGGTGGTGCGTCGCGAGGTTGCCGCTGGCGATGATCAACCCGTCGCGCCCCTCCAACGGCAGGCGCTTCTTGTTGAAGTAGTACGAGAACAGCGCGTCCACGCCGTAGCACACCGACGGCGCCCCGTAGCATTCGAACAGGAGCTCCGACATCTCTGATACACAACATTACATTGCAAACATCGAGCATCGAGCGTTGAGCTTTGATAGAACAGAAAGAGGGCGGAGGCGCAACACAACGCACGTTGTCTGCAGTAGCTGGGGTTGCACAGGACTTCGGTCATGACGATGGGGTTGGTGATGCGATCGCTATCGATTCGTAGGTTCGTGAAGATGTGGTCCAAGATTTGCTCCTGGGGGAACAGCACGACACCATCAACCACGAACGCGCCGTCAGCAGCACAACTCGACTTTTTTTGACTTCAGAGCCTCTCTGGCGTAGCGCAGCGTCCACGTAGAGCGAGAGCACGAGGTTGTGGAGAGGGAGAAGAAGAGGCAAGAGGCACCTGGACGTCGAGTCGAGTGACGATGCTGGAGTCGAACGGCGTGCGCAGGTTGTTGAGGGCGATGTCGGCGTTCAGCACGTCGTTGCCCACATACGTGCGCAGCGCCTCCTCTCCGCCCTTCTTCGCGCGAGCCTTGCCCACCACGGGCCTAAACTTGACTGTTGTGATCGCAGCGCCACGGCACGGTGCCCAGTGAGTTGTGGGCGCGGGCGCGAGCACTCGCACTACGAGTGAACTTTTAAGAGAGTGGGCGAGAGCGTACGACGAGGTTGGGGGTTGGTGGACCAACCAGCCCTGCATGTGTGCGAGCCTGCACAAAGCAACAATTAAATGGTGGAGATTATAATTGGATCTACATGCGATTAACGCAAATGCACGCGAAATGAGCGACAACGCGGCAAGGATGTGCGTGCATGGCACAGTGTGCTAGCGGGAGTGCGCACCGTTGTCAATGATTATGGCTGCCTCTTCACTCACCTCCATCTTGCGTTTGTTTGGACAGATGAATATAAATATCATAAAGAAGAATTGAGGCACAATAATTTACTGGTGTTTGTATTTGTGTGGAATGCCAAGCTAGCTCTTCCAGAAGGTAGCCACCCGATGCACAATGGCGTCGTACGCTGAGTAGCCTGTGAAGACATGAAAAGGACAAGCATGGAGTAAGATCTCGCGATTAATTTGATTGTAGTGCGAGCAAGGGCAAGTACCAAAGCTCATGCCAAGGGCCACGGCGAAGCCCACAACGAAGGGCTGCAAGAGATATTTCTTGATCGATTTGGTGAAGCGAGAGATGAAGCCCAGCTGTCGAATGGGCACCACAGCGCCCGAGGTAGAAAGTCGTGTCTGCACCCCCTGCGTAGACGCCGAGCTCGAAGAGGAAGAGGAGGGAGGTACTGCCACAACCGAGTCGCTCATTCTGCCCGATCGTACGTGTACGATTATTTGATTTAAATACCTATTTCTTTTCTCTGTGTTCGAAATACCTCGAATTTTGCACTCTGATTATTATTATTATTTTTATTTGTTTTTGGTATTTTTATTTGTTATTTGTTTTGATTGTGGACAAAAAGGGGGGGGATGAGAATCACCATCTCCACCAGATAACTAACTACGGATGCGGCAGCGAGGCCGCGACGAGCTTGAGCACCTCGTCGGTCTTGAGCCGCGCGTTCTCGGGCGCCTTCCGCACGCGCGTCCAGTACCGGCCGTGGCGCGGGTCGGTCCGCACGCAGCGCGCGACGAGCTCGGCCAGCGACTGCTCCGTGCCCTGCTGCTTCTCGAACTTGTAGAAGTAGGCCCACGTGTCGCCCAGGTCCGGGTTGAGCACCACGGCGCGGTTGAGCCAGCTGCGCGCCTTGTCGACCTTGCGGTCCTGCCAGAACACGGTGGCGACGGCGACGATGACGTGCGGGTCGTTGTCGCAGCGCTTGAGCGCGTCGACGCTCTTGGATTTC